GGAGAACAGTTTAGGATTGATAGAGCTATACAGTATGAATAAAGTTAGTTTGGATTAGGTTTCCTCCTGTAGTAACAACACTGGATCAATAAGAGATGATCCTTACTGGACCTCTAGGAAGAACAGTTTAGAACTGATAGAGCTATCCAGTATAAATAAAGTTAGTTTAGTTTAGGTTTCCTCCTGTAATAACACTGGATCAATAAGAGATGACTTTTACTGGACCTCTAGGAAGAACAGTTTAGAACTGATAGAGCTATATCCAGTATAAATAAAGTTAGTTTAGTTTAGGTTTCCTCCTGTAGTAACACTGGATCAATAAGAGACGATCTTTACTGGACCTCTAGGAAGAACAGTTTAGAACTGATAGAGCTATATCCAGTATAAATAAAGTTAGTTTAGTTTAGGTTTCCTCCTTTAATTTGGATCAATAAGAGATGATACTTACTGAACCTCAAGGGAGAACTCGTGTTTAGAACTGATAGAGCTATCCGGTGTAAACAGTTAGTGTTTTGGTGATTTAATTGTATATTTTTTTCAAGTACAATTTTATTATTTTCAGGTGAATTTGAACCTAGTGGTGCGACCAAGACTCGCGTAGAGAACGGCAAGGAGACTCCTGAGGATGTCGAGGAGAATGATGATGAAGAGGGTGAAAATGTGGATAAGAGTAGAGAGGATGTTGAATGCCCCCTGAAATTGAAGTTAAAAATTCATTCAAGTATTACAACGAAAATCTTGCCGCAACTTCATAAGTGCTTAACGAAGAAGGTTCGTTAGCTGCTGTTGTTTTTCTCGCGAAAATTTCTCGAATTTTCCCAGAAAAAAGCCAGAACTCTGTTTTCAAATTCCAGAACTCCCTTTCCAAATGCCAAAACTCAGTTTTCAAATGCCAGAACTACCTTTTGAAACGCCAGAATTCTGTTTTCAAATGCCAAAACTCTGTTTTGAAATGCCAGATATACCGTTTTGAAATGCCAGAATTTCTTTTTCAAATGCTAAAACTCCGTTTTCAAATGCTATAACTCCGTTCTCAGATGCCAAAACTCAGTTTTCAAATGCCAGAACTACCTTTTCAAAAGCCAGAACTCCGTTTTCAAATGCTAAAACTCTGTTCTCAAATGACCAGAACTCCGTTCTCAAATGCCAAAACTCAGTTTTCAAATGCAAGAACTTACATTTCAACGGCCAGAATTCCGTTTTCATATGCTAAAACTCTGTTAGTTTCAAATACGGACTTTACGGTCTTGCTTAGTTCGTTAATATGTCGGATCTTAAACGGTATCAAACTGTATTTACACTTCAGATTCAATCGAGTGATTTCCATCGCCTGAGTGGTAGAAAGGAGGATGACGAAGACGAGATACTACGAGTTCCCATCGTATTGGCCATGATTAAACTGTTGCAGTCTCTGCCCAAGAAAACGCTGGAAACAAACCTGCCTGGGTAAGTCTGTTATCATTTTATGATAAAAAGTTCTAATCTGTTAACGCACGTTGACACCCCTTGTCATGCAAATCACATTTTTGGAAAACTCGCATGGGAAAATGTCATTCTAGGAAACAAATAGTGTTTCCGAGTTTGTCGGAAGGCAATTTTTGCTTTCAAAAAAGCAAAATTTGTTTCCGAAAAAAATGTTCCAAGTGTGAACAATATATATATAATATACAGCCATATTTCCTGAAAGTGCCTGGGAAGTCTGGAAAGACGGTTTTCACAACAAAATCGCTCTTGGAAAACAAAAAAATGTTTTTGAAATTGTTTGGAAACATTATTTGCTATTTGGGAGGAAAAGTCGGTTTGTGATAACAATGTTTCCATGGGGATAGACGGGAGGGGTAACATTGAAAGAAATTTCGGAATTTTCAAAGGATTGTAATATTAATGTAAAAAATATGGCGGCCATATTTTAACGGCCATGAATTAACTATATTAAATAGTAAAGCACAATTTAGTATAGATACAGATATATGTATAATTACAATTGACACAAAATTTTCACCTCACTGCATTGGTTTACAAATCTCGCTTCTGCCTTTTATATACATTATATTTTTGTAAAAAGCATGCATCTAAATATCATAACCCTAGAATTGAAATGACAAGTACTGTATTGTAAGCACACATATACACAATGGAATGTCTTTTGAATAGAATCTGTAAAATACGTACGTGAAAAAAGCAGTCTTATATACGCCAGATCTCGTAAGGGCTCGTTATCGAGTGCATGCATGATGGATATTAAGTACATTATTTATATAGCTATATTATATGCAGCGGTTTTCCGATAGTCACAGGCTCATAACCTCGCAAAGTACATGTGAAATAGCCCTGCCAACAGTCGTGTGTCTGTCATATAATTTGTTTGACCTATTGCCATATATTCATATAATTATTGACTTATTGTTACGACACGGCTGTATGGAGATGTTTATCACAAAACCGCCATTGTATAAAGCCATATGAATATTTTATAACTTTTATGGCAACAATCCTTTATACTGAGAATGCCAGCTCAAATATTTGCAAAATTTCATCAGTCTTTTCACAGCTCTTATATATATTCAGTGCTCAAAAACAAGGCACTTGAGTTGGTGATATGACGAAGTTAGGCTCACTGATTTTATGTCTAATACAATTTTTTGTCAACGAAACGCTTGTCTATGGGAGTTTCTGTAAAACAGATAATGATTGTGTATTGAGTTACAGACAATTCTGTTGCCGAAATGAGCCGTTTTTATCAAGGAAAAGATGCAGAGCGAACTGTATTGGGCAATATTGTACAAGTCACGCCGACTGTCGCCACGATAATGAATGTTGTGGAATCTTAAACCGTTGTACGACTTATGGCTGTCGTAGCGAATGTAAGACGAACGACGATTGCAAGTCTGGGACTTATTGCTGTCGGAAAAGGGATATAACAGAAAAAAGTGTTTGCTTGTCGAAATGTATCGGAGAATATTGCCGTTCCGATACTGACTGTGGCGGCAAGCGAGAATGCTGTAGTCGGTTAAATCATTGTACGACGCATGGATGCCGACACGAGTGTCTGTCAAGCAGAGATTGCTCAAACAACACCGTCTGTTGTGTCAAAGGACATGATTTTGATAAAAACAGCTGCAAGGCTACTTGTCTCGGTGAAGCGTGTAAATCTGACCAAGATTGTGGCAGAATCGGGCTATGTTGTGGTTCGGATCATTTTTGTACGGATAAATGCAATACAAAGTCCAAAAGATTTGGCGGTTGGATTATCGCGACTATTGTTACAAGCGTTGGCTTCGCCGTCTTGTTGGTTAGTGCGCTGGGATTCTTCTTTGTGCGAAGACAGATGCAGAAACCCCCCGTGCGAAATGCCGTGGTCGTAATACAACCCCCCGTGATGAAAGATCCGACGTTACCAGCAAATTCGAAACCTCAAAATAGCTATCGACGGCCACCCCCGCTCCCCCCGCCTCAGACTCGGAATTTCCCACCGCCACAGACTCGAAATTTACCACCGTCCCCTGATAAGAAACTTAGCTCAAAGAAGCCCCCCTGTGTTCAACCTAAATTACACCAAAACGTTTCACCCCCCTTTAAAACTCTTGGCAAAGAGCGACGAAAACCACCCTCGCCCCCCGCAACGAAACCCAATGGAATCCAACGAGACCTAACCCCCAGAAAATACAAACCCCCACCACCCCGTCCCCCTGGTTTACCACAGAACAAAGAGCAATGGGCTAAAAATTCCGCCGTGACGTCAAGGACATTAAGTAAAGAGCGACGACTTCCACCTCTTCCCCCGCCGTAAAAGTAAGCATATGACTATAATATATTAAAAAATATTGACAATATATAACAAATGTCGTAAATTAACATTTTGTATTATATAATACCTTATTAAATTATAATCATTTAATTGGCTGTTTATGGTCACGTGATATTGAATAGAAAATTCCATTTCCCAAGAGTGCAATGGAACACGTTCCATTGCACTCTCCGCGAGTGCAATGGAATAAAACGTATAGTACAATTGCACTCTTTGTGTTTTCGATAAATCGCATCCCTCAAAATGCTTCTCATACGAATCTATTAGTCTATTTTGGTATTATATAAAACAAATAATGAATGTTTCTTCGTGCAATGGTAAGAATATTTTCATTCGGTGAAAGATGGAATGTTCCATTCAACTCGGCTGTCGCCTCGTTGAATGGAACATTCCATCTTTCACCTCATGAAAATATTCTTACCATTGCACTCATAAACATTCATTATTTGTATAATATAATAATAATACTTTTGAGTTGATTCAACTCGTTGAAATTCACAGTGTAAAGTTGATGACCATGTGAATTGCCATATAAAACTCTTCCTACAACATTAACCTGCCTACATACAACTTATTTTTATGTAGATAACACGGAACATGTCGCGGTTAAGTTCAGGAATATTAATTATATCCGTCAGAGTTAATGTCTTCGAGAAGAGCCGGGTGTTCGTGGTTTTGTGGTGGCGTTGGTAGTACTTGTTAAGGGGATGATAGGGGTCCAGTGGGATAAGCCTCTGGAATAATGTTTAGGTGATTAATGTAGCTTTCCGTAACATCTGCCGCAAAATCTGAGTCCGCCTCTGACGGAGGAGATGCCGATGTGTAGCTTTGGATAGATGGCGATGATATTTGTACGAGACGATGTGCTTGAAGGGACGAGGGGTATGTGTGAGTTTGTCTTGTGTTATTTCCTTGTAAAACTGGATTTCTTGCTGTCGACCATTCTCTCTCGGGGTTATTCACATTCTCTGGCGGAATATAAAAAGCGCCCTTCCGTACCTTCCTTGACGGGGTTTGTGAGATCGATGCTGGACGTTGGTGATATGGTAGCGGCATTAATCCTCCTTGTTGTGAATGTCGGTTTACTGGTGATTGCGGCGGTTGTCGTGTTGGATCGTAAGGGCAACACGTGCGTTGTTGTCCGGGAGCGATCGTCGTTACCATTGTTGCATGATACCTGTTTGTGCGATCTCGGTGCCTTCGCTTTTTATAACAGCGCCACAACAAAATACATAAAGATACAGCAATTAATGATGATAATACGCTTATAACGATCCTTGTGATTTTCCCGCCAGACAAGGAAGATGATCTCTCACGATTTTTACATTTTTTATTGGAGTCACAATGCTCATGAGGACCTCCACAGTCCGTATTTTCGGCGCACTCCTCACCGACACAACTTCTCCGACATACATTAGGGTAATTTCCTCGCTTACAGCAATATTCATGCGAAGCACAGTGACAGTTCGCATGGCAGTCTGCGTTCGAGCTACATTCCTCTTCGGCCACAGCCAAACCGATTTCCTTTATAAATATCGCATGCCAAGATAAAAATAAAATCAGAGATACACTTGACATTCCCTGCGTGAGATCCTGACTACAGACTGCGTAGCGGCGACAAGAGTAGCAAAGTGAAAGGCGAAACCTTGCGACGCAATGACGTTTTACATTTGAATTGAAATGAAACAAACTATTTTCGAATCACGTCAGCGATTTCATTCATTCGTATCCACTGACTGCAATATATTATAGTCATTGTAAAATAATTCTAAATTTATGGCTCAAACGTTTTAGGAAATAATTATTACAATTAGACTTTTCTCGAGATTCGTATATCTAAACAAATTTATCAATAACACCCCCAACCACTTTCCAACGCAGCCATGCAGAATTCCCGAATTGTAAGAAACAACAGACGGAATTGAAAAAAAAAGAATAAACTCGTTGGCGTTGCTTTTGTATGACCATGAGGAACTTTATAATTGATGAACTTTCCCACAAGTTATTACATAATTTGTTTGAAAAGGCAACATGGGGAGGGGGGGTCATAAAAAATGTTCGGTTGTCACGCCAACACATTTGATTGAAATATTCAATTTGAAATAATATTGCTTTCATCTTAAAACTGGAATGGTAAGACACAACAGACCACGACATATAGCTCTTATAAAACTAGCCTACACATTTTCTCAACGGGTAACAGCCAGTATTTCTCAAATTAGAAATGAGGAAAATATCCAACAGCGATGATCATCTGGTCCATCCATCCATGCAATAGACGATTTTGCACTCAAAACCACAAATCTTAGCATGTCGCAAGGGGGGAGGGATAAATTGAAACAAAGGTCGTCAGGCTCAGATTAAGGTTTAGGGTTACATTAGGGTCAGATTAAGATTAGATTAAGGTTAGAGGTTATAGAGTCTGGGTTGGGTTAGGGTTCAAATTAGATGGATGGCTCAGATGATCATCCTTTCTCAATAGAGAAATCCTGGCTGTTATACCAGCGTTGAGAAAGTGCGACATGGCTGGCAGGCTATTGTAAAACATTCACATTTCATTTAGATAAATGCACCTGTCCCTCGGATCGACTTGTGCCATAGTTAGTCTTTGAATGACTCACTTTTGCAATGAAACCATCCCATTACTTACAAAATCGATAATTATTTGTAATAATTATAATAATATGCTTGCGATGTTACTCTGAGAGTGTATAATATAATAATAATAATAATATAAGTTTGCATAACAATAGGATGACACTGAATACAATAAGCTTACAAAGCACAAGTTGTGGCAGAAGAAAGGAAAATGACTTAATATATAAGATAAATAATAAACAAAAAATATTAGTTATAACTACTTATACTAAGATTTAAATCTTAGGGTACGTTAACACACCGTGACTTAACAACCATGCATGCAGATATTAACGGCTTATTGACCGAGCGTGAGGTCTGTGCTGTGAAATATCAGACCACGCTTGGCATAAAATGTTTCAAATTCGGCCACAAGAAATGTTCGAATTTTTGCGGATGGCGCGCGTATTTTTTTGGAGTCTGGAGACGAAATTAATTTTGGAAATGTGCGCTATTTTTAGATAGCTGCGGTGACATGAAG